AAGGAAGGAAGGAAGGAAGGAAGGAAGGAAGGAAGGAAGGAAGGAAGGAAGGAAAAAGCTAACTGATTGGAAGTACCTATTGTTCATCCCACACACACAAAAGAAGGAGAAGTAGGGAAAAGAAGAGGAGGAGGAAAAGAAGAAGCAGGACAATGAATAAAGAATTACATCTCAAGCATAGCGGCATTGTGCCTTTAATGCCAGCACTTAGGAGGTGGAGGCCGGCAGATCTCTGCAAGTTCGAGACGACAGAAACCAAACAACAACAACAAAAACCTTAAAAAAAAAAAAAAAAGAGGTAATGGAGGGAAGAAAGACAAATATCATGCCTTCTCTTTTAGGATGAATCTAGGTTTAAACATATACACAGAGGACATGAAGACAAAAACATGACTATTGGATGAAGGGGTTGGAAAGGGATCAGCAAGAGGCAGGAAGAAGGGATGGTGGAGGGCAGTGCCTTGATGAGAGCAAAGCACAGTGATACACACGAAAACGTCATAGTCAGTGTAATTCTTTACGCTAACTAAAACTATTTTTAGAAGAAATACAATTCTTTCCCTTTTAGTTTAGTTTTGTTTTTTTTTTTTTTGAGGCAGGGCCTCACTAGATAGCTCTGGCTGTCCTGGAACTCTCTATGTAGACCAGTCTGGCCTCGAACTCAGAGAGACCTGCCTGTCTCTGCCTCTGATTAAAGATGAGACCACCATGGCTAGCACAACGCCATCTTGAAATCAAAGTCGCTGTAGAGTGCGTTCTACTCCAGATCCGCCAGCCTGATACCTCTCTACCCATGAGATGCCACCACCATTGCACCATGCTCACACAAGCGGCTGCAGTGCCCTAACCCTGGATACACAGAGCCTGGGCCCAGAGGAATCACCCTGGCATGAGAGCCCGTGGGGCATCCTGTTCCCCACGGACTGTGGGCACTGCAGGGACACTGTGCTCCCTTGGTGGACAGGCTAGATTAGTTCTTGCCTCCCAGTGAGTCTGTGCCCCTGGTAGTGGCCTCACCATGCCTCCACTGAACATGTAAAGAAGCCCCAACCTTGTCTCCTTTGAAGGCTGTACTGTACAATCGCAGACCCCTGCAGTCTACACTCTGGTACCCGGGAGCATTACTGATGTGGATTACAACTAAAGAAAGCAGAGACTCCACACTGTCTCAACTCAAAGCTAGCACATGCTGAACAGAGGATTGATATCCAGGACCCGTCGGCCGGTGAAAGGTTTTTTCCTACAAAACCTGATACAGAAACTTTAAGATCTGGCTGTCTCACAAA